GAGGGCATGTGGTGTACAGATTTGCGGTAATACTAAGACATTACTAGGCATAACGTAAAGAAGTATTTGACGCCAGTACGTGAACAACCGACGTGGAAAAATTGCTAAACGACGCTAACTGGCAAATTCTAATTAAAGAAATTTATTGCGAAAAATATTACCTCAGCCACGGTACCTGGACTTCCTTACACTCTGGGCGAGACGCCCGCCAAACCCTGGCTGAGGTAATATTTTTCGCAATTTCCTTTAATTAGAATTTGCCAGTTAGCGTCGTTTGGCAATTTTTCCACACTGATTACTAGGCATTTCTTGAGCATTAGGACTTGCTGGAATATTACAAAGATAAAACAAGGTAAATAAAATAAAATAACAGAAATAAAAGAGAGTGACTCTGTAATAAGTAAATAAATTTTAAATTTTATAAAAAAAAAGAGTAAAATAAAATAAGTTAATAAGACAAAGTAATGCCCACTTGGGCATCAGTGGGCATTGGTGTACATGATTTTGGTCAGCGTTTACCCCTCGATTTAAACATAAGTAAAGCACAACATATAACGATTGTCTTGGCAGTTAAATTAATTTGTCGCAACGTTTTTAAAGCGTTGATCGCAACTGCCGGGTATTTCGCGGCTGAAAAGCGGTCCCGCTCGTCAGCGAACGTGTCACGATCGTCACCTCTGACCCGGGGACTTGGAAGCCAAAGGTCGCTTTAATTGAGGACGATAAAACAAATTGCGCGTTGTTGCTGCTTACGACCCCACTGCGTTTCATTATCCCGTCGATTATCATTTTACGTTGACCGCGATTTCGCCGATCTTCTTTCCGCGCGCGCTTAAAAGTTGCGCGGATCAATAGACTCGTTCAATTATATACGGAACGAAACGGGTTACGTTGCTTCTGCCGAGAGGAGGGGAGGGGGGGGGCGAGAGAGGCGATCGCCGAACGATCGCTGAATAATGCATGCGCACCGTGCACGTGGATCATGCAACACCGATACATTTAATGGCCGATTGAAACTTAATGAAGAGCCGCGCCGGAAGATTGCACGGCAGCGTATTTTACGAAGCCCCGGAGAAGCGGCGTAATTGTCCTCCCCAAGAAATTATCTGGCCGGAGCGTGTACGCTTATTCCACGTCTCTCTCATGCTCACCCTTCGCCCTCGATAGTAGTTTTCGTCAGGTACAGCGCGACTCCCTTTCGCAAGGTCGTATCGCGATTTTACGCAATTTCCGGTTTTTAAACGCATGCACATATCTCAAGCTTAATGTTGCTCCTCGATGTAGTAATTCTGCAACTTGCAAATAGCCCGAAAGGCTGTAAAAGATGTAAACTTCTCTCTTCTTTTTCAATTAATAAACAATCCGTGAGTATTTATAAACGAGCGTAAAATAAAAATGTTGACACGACGCTGATTATCAGCTTAATTTAACAGTAAATCATTTATTCTTACGGTAATCAGCTTGAAGCTTATCCAAGGTATCTCGATTTTGTGCAATTTTTGGTTTTCCTGCTTAAACGCACGCACATATATTTATTTAAAGCTCAACGTTGTTCCTGGATATGATAATTCTGTAATTTGCAAATAGCCCGAAAGGCTATAAAAGATATAAACTTCTCTTTTCTTCTCCGATTAATAGACAATCCGCGAATATTTATAAACGAGCGTAAAATAAAAATGTTGACACGACGCTGTTTATCAGCTTAACTTAACAGTAAATCATCTATTCTTACGGTACTCAGTTTGAAGTTTATCCAAAGTGTCTCTATTTTACGCAATTTTCGGTTTTTCTGCTTGGGCTCGATTTCACCAAACGTCGCTTAACTTTAACCTCGGTGTAATTCACGTTTGTCTCTTTCTGAAGTAACAGTTGGAAAGAGACAAAGAACGAATTAAGCTAAGCTTAAAGTTAAACGACGTTGGTGAAACCTTAAACGGTCATTTTGGGCCACTAAACTCGAGACACGAGCTTGCGAAAGAATTCAGTCGAACTCGCTAACGCTGAAAAGATTTAATATTTCCTGTCAATTATTAAACTTGTAAGAAACAATGTCGAAGGAGCTCCGAGTTCCCGCCCCGAAGATCGCTCGGGACTTCGCAGCGAGCTTTATGGGTTCGCATTAATATATGCATCGCTTAGAGAAACTTTTAATCCAGTTTACACAGTCACCCCCTAATTTCTAATCGAGTTATCCACTTATTCGCGGGCGCTTTTATGCAAACTCAGCGCGCCGCCGCGTTCAGTTCTTAAAATACATTTCGAGTTAGCGCGAAATATAATGCTATCTCATCACATTACGCGTCTATCTTTCTCGCGGCTATATCGTAACGGCGTTATGCAATATAAAAGAGGATTATACGCGCGATACATGCCCGGCTTATCTGCGGAACACGCCGTATACGCTGTCGTGTGACTAACTAAATTGATAACGGGGCGAGTGGCACAGTTCTGCGTTACACCGCTGGGAAATGTAAACACGCGAGTTATTCTGTGTAAATCTAATCTAATTACGGCACATCCGCGCGTGCGCGCGCGCGCGCGTACGCGGAACGTACGTGTCGTAGGTATCGTTAGCAATTTGAAATTTCCATGCGAACTCGTTACGGGAACCTCGGGATGGATGCCGCCGCGCCGCGCCGCGCCGCGGGGCCCGCAATCAGGCCGCGGAGCGGAAATTATTTTCTGTTTGGCTCAATCCCCCGCGAAGGCCGCGTGACGAGGGTGCTAATTACGCGCGATCCTAAGCCGCGGCGTAATATATCGATTTCGGGGTCGGATATTGTTAACAACGGGACGCCCGTCTCGCAAGCGAACTCTCGCCCGCGCGGCGTCGGCGTCGGCGGGGCGTAAATCGCGCAATTTGCACTTTTCTCATTCGCGTCATGGTGTATGATTTTATGTCGCCGGCGCCGTTCTCCGGCCTTGATTTTCAAAGATACCAGAGCCAGCAATTTGCAGTTTTTATCCTTCGTACTGTTACCCGGCTTCGCCGCCTTCTTTTTACGTCGTAATTACCTCCGCGATTTATATTTTCTTGTCATTAGGCGTTAGACAGGGTAGCCTCAAGCTGACTACCGTAAGAATAGATGTTTTACTGTTAAATTAAGCCGACAAATCGGCTTTCGTGTCAACAATTTTACTTCACGCTCGTCTAAAAATGCTCACGGATTGTTTATTAATTGGAGAAGGAAAGAGAAGTTCACATCTTTTATAGACTTTCGTTTAAAAACAAAAAATTGCATAAAATCGAGATGCTTTGGATAAGCTTCAAGCTGATTACCGTAAGAATAGATGATTCACTGTTAAATTAAGCTGATAATCAGCGTCGCGTCAACATTTTTACTATTAATTGAGAGAAGAAAAGAGAAGTTTATATCTTTTGTAGCCTTTCGGGCTATTTGCAACTTACAGAATTATTGTATCGAGGAGCAACGTTGAGCTTTAAATGTGTGCGTGCGTTTAAGCCGAAAATTGCGTAAAATCGAGATACCTTGAATAAGTTTCAAGCTGACTACCGGAGGAATAGATGATTTACTGTTAAATTAAGCTGATAAATCAGCGTCGTGTCCACATTTTTACTTTACGCTCATCTGTGAATGCCCACGGATTTATGAATTGGAGAAGAAGAGGGAAGTTTATATCGTTTATAGCCTTCCGGGCTATTTGCAAATTGTCGAATTATTGCCTCGAGGTGCAACGATGCGCTTTAAATATATACCAGATACTGTTTCTGTTTAGCGAACTTTTACATTACGGTGCTCGCTGGTTCTCCCGGTATCTCTCTATTTTTTATTTGCACACGCACACCGTAATGACACCGATCACGCAATAGCGTGCACGTAACTACGCTTTCAGATTTATCGTCATTGATGCATCGCAGTCATCGGTGAATTGGAGTTTACGGCGGCCCGCCGCTACATATCGCGGCGCTTTATCTCGCGACATGCATGCGCGATGTCTTTCGTTTTGCCATCATCTCGTCACGTATCAATATCTCGATCGAGACGATATGTAAGTGAATTAACAGGACGGCCCAGTTCCCGGCGCTTCCTTAAATCGCAGATTATTTTATTGCTTCGGGCACACTTCAAGTACTACGAGCTCTCTTTAACAGAAAAGAAAAGAAAAATGTCGAAGTAGCTCTCGAATTAATTAATTCTGCAGTGGAGATTGAAAATGGGTAATGGATTAGCCGAGATCTCGTTCTTCGTGCAATATTACCGCGCGCGTCTAGTAAAATGCAATTATTTTTAGGATTACGTCGACGATTTTGCACGACGCCGGGGCTGATTGGAGTCATTTAATCGCGCGCTCCTCTCTCGACCGTGCCTTTCTACCGGTACATAAATAATAATAATAATGTTGACACAGAAAGATTTTATAAATAATAGCGAACGTTAATGGATCACTCGTCTACTCAATTAAGGCTTTTACAGTGTAATTTATGTTGCTGCTTCATGCTTCGTAAATATCCAGCTCTTGGCAAAAGCGTCGCATTTTATCGCACGTTTTAGCCGGCTCGATAAAATTCGCTCGATAAGGTCGCCTTTTTCGAGCAAAACATTTTGCCTTTCAATATCAAGGTTATCGCTTCTTCTCGGTCCCTCGCTAATTGTTATTGCCGTTGCAATTAAGTAAGTCGAAAACAAAATAACACGATTTGGCCGTGAATGCGCGCGATATACGCGAAACACACGAAACGTAGCGATTGTTATTATGTAAACGAGATATACGTATCTGCGCTTCTTATTAACATTAATCACCGCGATTGTAAATTAAAACGAGTGGCGGAAATTGATATACGGATTCTCCCTGGCGCGTTCGCAAAATCTGACCTTTGTAAGCAGGAGTCGAATTGAGTGTAACTTTGTTCGTGCGTTGGGGCTTCGATAGTACCTTATCGATAATACTTACTGCTTAATGTTCATGCGTTCGGCGTAATAATAAATTATTATTGCGGGCGCGGTCGCCGGTGCACCCGGTAAAAAAATGCACGTTGAATGCACAGCTATTTATTTACATATTCATCTATCGTACAGAGTAAAGTCCTACGTAAAATGGTACGTTTTCAAGCGTTTTTCCTAGCGAAACGCGCATAAATTCCGCGAATGTCGTGCGCCCATTACGCGAAAGTATCGTTTACGTTGCAGCGATACGCGCGCATTGTTTATTCAAACGGAAACTGTAATCTAACGGTGCCCGCTAGACGTTCGTGTGTGTCCGCTTTTGCTCTCTTAAACTAATGACCGACCGGGAAAAATATGCCGTTAAGTATTCTCCTCCTTAACATCTATAAAATGTAATTACCTGTGAAATTAGGTCTTTCTGTTCAGCGCCAGCGGCTTACATTCTTTTACCGTTTTTTCACATACCGCGCATTAATCCGCGCTATATTTCGGCGCACTCTACATTCGACACCTATGTATTTCTACGGCGGGTTCCCTCGCCTATATATTAAAACACTACCGACGCATTCGATCGTAGAGAAATGGTCGAAAAATATAAAAGTCGCGGTATCGCATCGCTCAAAAATTTTCTTATTACGTCCTGTCGGCGAAAGGCTCTCGGAGATTTTACGCGTCGTTCTGCTCGAAGACGAGATAGAAAGAAAAACAGCGCGCGTACTTTCGAAAAATTGCCTCATCGCTTTTCTTTCATCTTGTCTTCCGTTTACACACGCTTCACAAAACGCTGTGTGTTCAGGCACTTTATCTTTTGTCGCTTTTCATTCCAGCATTAAAAATTACTTGGAATCTTTCAACGAGGGCAAGAGAAAAATTATATTCCCAAATTTTTAGAATATCCTTAACGTAACGCAATGTCTGCCTCTCTTTTCTTATATCTTTCACATTGACTCCAAAAATAAATCTCATTTAAACACTCCTTCCTCTCTTCTCGTTTCTTTGATTAAAGTTATCTCGCATCTTAATTCAAGCGCGGAGAAAAGTAGCTTCTTAACCTTCAGACTGCCGGCATTTTTTCAATAGAATAGCGTTCTTTTTTTCCCCAAAAAATTTACGTATAGAAATAACATACGCAGAATCGCGAGATTTGAGCCACAAAAGTGGCTTTTCCGACAGTCTAAGGGTTAACATTCGTTAAAAACTCGCGAGAAATTTCTCGTCGCACCATTGTCTTTGGTTCACAAATCTACGTGGAAAATTTGCCCGGCTCCTCTATCTCTTCCATCTTCTTCCTCGATTAAGAATCAATCTCGGCTCCACGCGCCGTTTCGGGCGACGACGTTCTCTCGCAGAGGCTCTCGTGATATTAGACATCAGCTATCGTCCACAGCCGACTCGGTCACCTCGTCGATTATGGAATCCCGCCGTGGTATCCTTGACATTTTATCTGGCCGTGGAAATTTTCACGGCGGGAGATCCGCGATCGAAGTAGTTCCGGCGGCTCTTATCCGCCCCCTTAAACGTAGCCGTCAGCTTCTAATTTTAGGGCGGCTTCGTAAGAAGGTAAACCCTGATCGTCCCTCGGGATATCCTCCCGCTTGTTGATCCTGTTGGCCTCCGACTCGGTGGGCAAGCTGCTTATCGGGGGCGAGATAATGCTGCCGGGATCGTCAGACTCGTCCTTCTTGTCGGTCGGCGAGGGCAGTGCCCGCGGGTCGAAGATGAGGCTTTCGTAGGCCGGCGGCGGGCCCGAAGTCACGGGACATTGCGAAAGAGACGCGAGCACTCCCTCCTCCGGATGATGCTGAGATGTTGCCGATCTCTCGATGCACTGTTGGAAAGAAATTCGTTAAAAAAAATACATATACAGGGTGTCTGATGCAAAAGTAGCCACTTTGCAAATA